AAAAGTCTCTCAAATGATCTAATGAATAGTGGGACTTATCAAGCTATTTATAGAGTTTAAGAACTCATATTCCCGCAACAATTAGGTTTTCTAAAGTCAAAATGGCATAAAAATCGCATTAAGTCGATTTTGCCATGTTAGCAGTTATGACCGGTCGACTGGTCCACTGTAGTATAAAACCATTGGTCGACAGGTCCCAACATGAAAAATCTCCATGTTGATTTAAACTGTTCTGAAAACTTGTTTTCTAAGCTTATTCAATACGGGAAACTTGTATGGAGCTTCAATTTTAATTTAAGTAACCCAATGTAGAAGTTACCTAACTAAAACAATCATATAATAACTTTCTCATATCAAATAAAACTCAAAAGAATAATTTAATAAATTTATCTATAATTAATTTAACAATTAATTCACCCGATAAGTTACTTATGAATTAATCACTGATCTCACATTTGACTTTGACCCTTTAGTGGAAATAACATAAGTTACCAATATATAGGAAATATGTCATATTGTTATAGGAAAGTATATGAGACTTGATGGACATATATATATCAAGCTTTTATAATCACGATAGTACTAGTTCATGACAAGTTCATTACAGGATTATAAACTCTAGTGATATTCCACTAAAAGCCTAGAGTTGCACTCTTGATCTATATAGCATATTTATAAAGCTCCGAATAGTTCCGGTCCATGACTCATTATATTGTGTATCATCGCTATAGGATATCAATAATCAACTGAAGGTCAAGTTCTGTTTTATCTTCCTAATTATATTTATCTCGTGTCCATTACCACTCCATCAGAAAATTCATTATTCGTACCAATATAAATAATAAACCATTAGATAACAAAAAGTAGTAGAATGGCTGAGCACTCATATTTTTCAATCCATGGATAATGCTATAAGAAGATATCATTGACTCTTTATAGGAGTTATCGATTCCCTATCTATGAATAATAAATCTACGCACACAAGAGTCATACCCACGACGTACTAGTAACCGTACCTTTACATAATATTAGGATGTCTCCTTTTGACACATCAAAGGATATAAATTGAGCATACGGGTTTATTATTCATCTCAGGATTAAGATGATCACATATAATTCGTCAAAAGTGAATTATTTTCTTTAAACATAATTATTAATTAAAACAATTTAACTTTCGTTCGATCCAATATAGATTTCACCACTAGGTACTATATTAATGTCTCTACCTATGGAGCCCCACCCCTGATGACCAAGACAAGTCATCTCCATTAAGAAGTAGATAACATAACAATATTAACATGAATGAAGCTCCCAACTTCATTAGCTCGATTACGAATCTTATAATTTAGACTATCATCTTTAGATTCATGTATTATTCATGATCTTCTCATTACATGACTGATCGAAAGACTTAGATCGACAGTTTCAAACTTATAGTCTACTTATCATACGTTCAACTACTATGGACATAAAGAAGACATTACATAGATATATGAAATAAATTTATCTTTATTAATAGTCAAAACATCTCAAAAACATTTTTACATTTATTCCTAAGGGCATAAACAATAACATAAAGATGTAATTTGAGAGGTTAACGGATTTTCCCTTGCTCTAATTATGAATAAATTATGGAGGATTGATCTATATGTAATGACTGTGGTAAATGGAAACTTCGAGTATTGGAAGTGAATTACATTTATAATTACGAGAGTGCAATTCCAAGTTTATAGTGAAATAACTTTTGAAGTTGATAAAACTAATCAGTTAATTAAAGAGTTTATAAGTTCATGAGTTCTCGCATCGTCATTGTAATTCTACAAGACACTAAGAATAAAATGAGAATTTAGAATTATGGAATTCTAAATAAAACACTCAAAAATAATTATTTGAGAATTAATTGGATATTAAATAAATTCTAAATAAAACACTTAAAAATAATTAATTGAGAATTAATTGGATATTGAATAATGTGATTATTTAATTTGAATTTTAGAACACACATTTGGTGGGACCACCATGTGCCACACGCCCATATGAGAAGGAATCCCTCTGAGATTCACTTGCTTGCTCTCTAAGTTATACAGTTAAATTCAAATATGTTTAAAGTTTGACTTTAACTAGAATTTGAATTCAAATCAAAATTAGTCAGCAACATAAAGGAAAATTTCTTCTCCTTCCCTTATCAGTGTGTGACGCCAACCACAGGAGATTTATCCCTGTGGTGGCCGGCCTTGACAGTGTGGGAGAGGGAGAATTTTGTTTCAAAATAAATTTAAAATGGGAGATAATTTTATAGCTTTATCTTGGAGATAAAGATTAGATTTCCACTGGGACACTAATAGCAACTCTATAAATATGAGGCAATAGAAAAATGGAGAACACAAATTTTGCTTTAATATTCTAGTAGGTGGCCGTTTTTATAGAGTGAGGAAAAGAGAAGAAAAGTTCTTCATGCCAGTTCCATGTCGTTAATGAGTTGGTGTTCGTGAAAGACTTTGAGTGTTTTGAGTGATTAACCTGTTTTATTTCAGGTGTGTCTACACACATGTTCTTCATAGATTTAAGGAATTGACGAGAAATATTCAGGTATTCCAAGAACGCTCAAAGCAAGGATTGTTCGTGGTCAAAGAATTGAAGTTATCAGCATAATTGGTCACTACGTATAAATCTCGATTATAACTGTTTAGTATAAATTAATATATTTTGTAGAGTGTTTGAAAAAGTTTTATGAAAATTTTTTGTTATACATGATCCGTTGATACACGCTTCTGCATTTGAAATCGTTTCAGAAATCATCAATTAGACCATCTTTAATGCAAATGCTAATGTTAATTGTATATTTAACATTAAAAATTATAATATGGTATGTTATTTTTATTTTTGTTCCAATGCATAATGCTATTTGAAATGCTAAATTTACTTTTTTCCATAATCATTGAGCTTTAAAAGTTGTAAAAATAAACTTTTATTTTTAAAATAATTAAAAATGCAAGAGTTGCAATGATTACATGAAATAGTAAATATTTCAACCAATGACAATCACATGCCAAATTTCACATATGCCATACTTGGTGGGAAATTTACTACAAATTATAGTATATAAAAATTTTGGTACAACAAATATCATTGTATTAGAGAGTGTTTTTTACACTCAAATGTTAAATTTGCAATTGGCACATCAATTGTAGCTTTACATTAGAGATGCTCTAACATACTTAATTTATGGTAGTTAATTATTTAATATTTTTAATTTGGTAAATTTTAGAGAACTAACAATCTAATCTAATCTAATATATCAATACATAAAAGAATCAAAGCTTTTTTCTGTGGGGTTCCCACGTGGCTGCCCTCCACTTATCTCCCTGTGTTTTTACTTCTTTATCTTTATATTTTTGTTATTTTTTTACATTTTAATTTTTGGTGTGTTTTTTAAAAATATAGTGTTCCTCACATTACTCTTATAAGTGTAATTTTTCACACGTGTTCCTATTTTATTTTTGATTGGTTATAATAACTCTTTTCAAATGTGTCTCTGCTCAATTTTATTTTGTCAATTGTTATCTTTACACATATTTCTTTTTTAAATAAATTTAAAAATCCTTAAATAGTTGTATAAATTAATTTCTCATTATTCAGTAAACAACAAACATTTCAAGTGTCTCCAACACGGTAATACGTGCATAACACGTTACAAAGCTAGTATCTAACATCTAACAATACATAAAATAGCCAAAGTTATTCTCTATAGGGCTGTCATGTGGAGCCTCTCCATTTATCTCTTTTTTCCTTTTTTATTTACCTTTTATCTTTAATTTTTATGAATTTTTTACATTTTATTTTTTTTTGTGTTTTTAAAAATATACGTTTCTCACTTTATTCTTATGTGAATAATTTTTTTCGCATGTATTCTTATTTTATTTTTAGCCAGTTAAAATAATTTTATTTAAATGTGTCCCTACTTAATTTTTTTGTCAATTGTTATCATTACACATATTTTTTAAAATAAATTTAAAAATCCTTAAATAGTTGTATAAATAAAATTCTCATTATTCAGTAAATAATAAATTACTATGTTGTCTTTAAACAGCAACACGTGCGGAGTACGTTCCTAAACTAGTCTCTTTATACTTAAAAGAGTCAAATTCTCTTCTCACGTGGCGGCATGCGAGAAGAGAGCCTTTGGCTTTCTCTTTTTATTACTCATTTTTTTGTTTTCTTATTTTCTTATTTTTATTTAACTTTCTTTTTGTGTTTTTCTTTTTTTAGGACTTTTTTTAATAGGACTTTTTTATCGTTATGGTTAGATACTATCAAAATAAAAAATACCTTTTTAATACTTATTTTTTATTTCTTTTGTTTTTCCAAACTGAGCATACACGCGGAGCTCATATTTATAATTAGTACATAAATGAGTTAAAGCTCTTTTTTATGGACAGTCCCTACACTTACCTTTTTTTAAACTTTTTTATCTTTATTTTTTTGTGAATTTTTTTTTACATTTAACTTTTTGTGTGTTTTTTTTTAAAATATATTGTTTTCTACTTTAATCCTATGAGAGTAATTTTTTACATGTGTTTCTATTTTATTTTTAATTAGTTAAAATAATTTTTTTAAATGCGTTGTTGCTTAATTTTTTTTATCAAGTTTGATCTTTACACGTATTTTTTTTAAATGAATTTAAAATTTTTTGAATAATTATATAATTAAATTTCTCATTATTTAATAAATAATAAATTTAAGTCTCGTTCAGTTCGTTAATTTAAGTTAAAATGTAACTTTAATTATAATAAAAAATTAAATATAATTTTTTATAAAAATTTTTAATTATAATAAATGATAGTGTCTTTAATACGGCTGCGCAGGCTACAACACTCGTAGAGAGTTAACAAAGGAATATCCACCGTAATTTTCGAAAAACAAAAAAAACAAAAGAAACGTAGGAAGTCGAGAAGCTTCGGGTTAGCCCACCATATGAGAATATTCCCACGAAATCTGGCCAAAAGTCCCAACACTTTGACCCTCGACCCTCGACCCACGACCCTCGACCACTGAAACAAACGGTCCAGATGAAGACAGACCCCATTTCATTTACCCATTACTCTCCCCCCACTATCTTCTTTTTCTTCTTCATCTTCACTGTTAACGGAACTGAAAAGCGAAAGCATTGCCTGCCGCTTAATAAAACTAATCCTTATTTCCACTCCCTTTTCCTATATTGCAACACTCCTCTCTCTTTGAGCTTTCGCCCATAGCCATGGCCGCTCTCAGCACTCCGTCGTTGCAGGCCTCGCTCCAGCCGTTTCAATCGCGTCTTCTGCCGAGCTACCCCAGGGCGTTTCGCGTTTCGTTCTCAGAGAGAAACGGCAGCATACCCTCTCGCGCTCTCAGCTGCCTGCGGTTCTCTCGCTCGCCGTCCCTGCCGTTCGTGAAGTTCGCACCTTTTGCTTCCCGCGGAGAAACTGAAGCTACTGAGACCGAAGAAATTCTGGAACAACCTTATGCCGAGGTATTATTTCTCTCTGTTTTTTTTCCCCTAAATGTCTAAAAAGGTTTTATTTTCTCATCGAAGCTCTGTTTGGTTGCTAGAAAATACGTGCGAAATGAATATGATGAGACGTCTAGTTGATTTAAGTAAACATGGGAAATTATCTCTGGCTTTCTTTATTGGCGCACAAAATGTGAAAGGATTATTTACATAAATGCCTACTTGTTTTAAAGTGCCCCGATCTTTAAAACAGTTCAAAATACTCCGATCTATAAAAAATAGATTAATTGCTCCTTCCGTCTAATTCCTTTCAAACAGACTTTTGACAGGACAGTGATTAAAACTTAATTAAAAGTGTTAAACTTTAATTAAATCAATAATAATGACCATTTTATTAAAAAAATAAAAATTAAGAAAATGGAGAATTTAACCAAAACCCTCTGCAAAGATCTGTACAACCCTCTAAAATAAAATTTAACAAGAATTGATATCTCAATAATGGTCTGGTGCTTGAGCTTATGCAAAACTATGTTCATCTTTGAGCAAATGTCAAAAAAAATCCCAGAAATTATCCTATGTATAACAAAAAGGTTCCATTTTTCTCCTTTTTGCTTCTGTGAATGACCACAAATTAGACAAAGAGACGTCTAACATCTCCACAAGGCACTAAAGCTACTTCTTGACGTCGCTGAAACAAAAGAAAGGGACTTCTTAACAAGTATTGATATCTCAATAATGGTCTGGTTCTTGTCGTTTGTTTTAGCTTGCTAATTTAGTTTTGTTTTATTACTGGTTTATCGTTTATTTAGTGGTGTCATTTCTAAGTGGACTATAAATAACCACTAAGCTATTGTATTAAAGAAACTTGAATATTTTGATAATTGAATTAGAGTTGAGTTTCCTCTTCAATTTGGAGTTTTTCCTTTGTGGGATTTTTTTAGGTGGATTCAGGAATCTTTCATCCGGATTAGGCCGGTAAAAGTCCTGTTCTATCCAATCCGCTGCGTCAGTTGGTGTTGACGGTGTTTTTCCGACAACTCTTGATTACCTTTCCAAAAACACTCACCGTTCAATCAAAGATAAAAACTGAAAAATAATGTAAAGGAGACAACAATTTTATAGTGGTTCGGCAATAATTCTTTACCTAATCCACTTGTGCATGCACTAATATTTCAGTCGGTTACAGATGCTCTCCCTTCTTACAACGAAAATGGTGTCTAACCCCTCTCTGGGTTTTATTGGCTCTATTTATAGGCCTTTACATGTGAACGTGTATTCTCCGTTCCCAAGGAGGAAGCCATCCTCTGTCCTCGGTAATCGTGAGAGTAGGTGGGTTTTCATGATGACTATCCCGGAGAATGCGGCTGATCCTTCCTATCTGCCGCCTGATTTCCTGACTCCTGCAGTAGCAGTCAGATAAATACTTCTCTTTTCGAGTTGACAAGACCGCTGCTGGATTTGACTGGACGGCTTCCGGTCTGATCCAACACCTTGACTCCTCGACCCAGAGGCTTCAAAGGGCTTTTAGCATACTTCTCGACTTCAACGGCACAAAGGCCTTGAGAGGACCTTGAGCACTTCTCGACTCCAACACCTTGACTCCTCGACCCAGAGGCTTCAAAGGGCTTTTAGCATACTTCTCGACTTCAACGGCACAAAGGCCTTGAGAGGACCTTAAGCACTTCTCGACTCCAAGAGCGCTCCTCAACCTAGAGACATCTCTCTAACTGTTAGTTCTCGACATCAGTGATTTGTTCTGACTTTCGGAGCTCTCGACGCGTACAACAAAAGTGGGTGGCTTGAATGGTCGACCATGGTGTAACAGTTGGCATTAGAGCTCTCGGTTTTTTCTTGGGATTCGATGCCATGATCGGTGATTGGAGTTACTTCGACGCCGATGAGTGTGAAGTTTGGAGAAGCGAGTCTTGTCGGTGGTGCCCACCAACAGCTGCCTTCTCCACCGCCTTCTCCACCACCATCTCACCATCTTCTACCCCCACTGCACCATCACCATCACTACCTTTCCCAGCACTACGACCAAACCAACCTCCACACCCAAATCGGGTATTGTTCACCTCCACCACCTCCATCAGTTTCACCCAACCACCACCACCATGACCCTTTCCACCACCGCCATCAATACAAGCCTTTATCGACACACAAACCCAGAACCACCAATGACCACACGAATATGGAATCATCACAATCACCAAACAAATCGCCACCATCAACACAAAATCACCATCGGAGGGAACAATGGCCTCAACCACAGATTTACGGTGAACCCAGAACTAATGGATCTTACGGCGACATTTCTCTTGATCTCAGCGTCGCCGCCGACGAAGAAACATGGGATTTTAGTGAACTCAGATGATTTCGCCAATCGGCATACACGGATCTCCGAGTTCCACGACCTACGACATCGCTATTGTTCCCTTTCCAGTCACCATCGAAGTGTACCAATGAAAATCTTAGACAACTTCGTCCTTCGAACGACCAAAAATTCGGTCTTCGTCGCGGCGAATATCGCGTCCATCTTTGGTTATTTGGAAAGCCCATCGCTGAAGGAGAAAACACCCGTCACTGAGGCGAAGTTCGCGCTCAACTCTGCTCGCGCTCATTGCCTTCGTCACGATTTGCAAGTGTGTTAGCCAGAGATGAATCCGACTTCGTGAAGAAGCGGTTGTTTGAGATCCGATCCTAAGTCTAGAACTCCGACGAGAAGGTTCTGAAGTTGAACGTTGCATGGTGGGCGACAAGGGGAAGCCAACTATGACGGTGGTGCAGGTGCTCAGATTTATTCATGGCCGCCGCCTCCGACGTGTGAGCCAATTCCATTTTCGCTAGTTGAAGTGTTCAAAGAAGCAGCCCTAGCCCATGAGCAAATGGGCCTAAATGAAACTTACTAGCCCAGCAAGCAAATTAGCTCACAAGAGATTATTAATCCAAATAGACAACTTGAGCTAAATGAGATTAATAAGTCCAACAAATTAATGGCTGAAAAGATGACTTCCAATTCGCACAAAGAAGAAAACAAACGACCAAATTTGCTTAAAGGAGACGACAACACCATCTCTTCACGGGCACCGAATATCAGGTAAAAAGTCAACCCAACAATAGTTGTTTTAGCTCACAAATTGAAGAGAATTTGACTCAAAAAGAAAGTGTTTCTTTGGAGATTCCATATTTTGATGGTAAATGTGACCCTATAGATGATTTCTTGATTGGATGCAGATTGTGGATTATTATTTTGATCATATGGATGTGGAAGAAGGAAAACAAGTTAAATTGGTGGTTTCTAAATTAAAGGGCCGTGCTCAAGCTCGTTGGAGTCGATTAGTCCACCAAAGAGAAAAAGAGAGCAAGAATCCGGTGCAAATTGGACAATGATGAAACATGTGAGCAATTGTTTCCAACTCCCGTTGATCCAATTTTATTCCAACTGTCGAATTAGGAAAGTTAGATTAGGATAACTTCCTATGATTGTTATCTAGTTAGGAGTATTTGTTTTTTAAATAAAGAGATAAGCAGATATCTGAAATCTCTATTTGATTTAGTTAGTGTTTATCTCTTAGGTTAAGGGATTTATCTATTACTAGAATTATGGGATTCAATGACAGCGTTGTTGTCATGCCTACCTATAAAACCTAGTAGCCGGTCATTAATCATTAGAATAAGAAAAATATATTTTTCTCTCCGAAAACTACATGGTATCAAAGCCTAGAGTTTCTTTCTACGTTAAACCCTAATGGCTAAAACAACCATGATTGGAGCAAGCAAGGCATCTTTCTCGAGAGTCACAGTAGAGAGCGTGCAATCCAAGACCACTGTCATAAACAGTGGTATGGATCTTTCCCCATCGATTTCTTTCCTTCAAATTACTGTTCACAAATTGAATGGTAAAAATTACCTAGAGTGGGCTTAGTCCGTAAAGCTTGCAATTGATGGCAGAGGCAAACACGGGCACCTGACTGGAGAAGTAAGCAAACTAGCAGCGGACGACGCTAACCTGAAAACATGGTGATCGGAGAATTCACTGGTAATTGCGTGGCTTATCAACTCGATGGAGCCAGCAATTGGAAAACCACATCTTTTTTTACCTACTGCCAAAGACGTCTGGGAAGCAGTGCGTGATATGTACTCGGATTTGGAAAACTCCTCACAAATCTTCGATTTAAAATTGAAGCTATGGCGATCAAGACAAGGAGATCGGGATGTTACATCATACTACAATGAGATGGTGACATTATGGCAAGAGTTAGACTTGTGCTATGAAGATGAATGGGACTGCCCAATTGATAGTCCGCGACACAAAAAAAGAGAGTGATCGAGTTTTTATGTTCTTAGCAGGACTTAATTAGGACTTGGACGAGGTAAGAGGAAGGGTGCTGGGCAGAAAGCCTTTACCATCCATCAGAGAGGTATTCTCGGAAGTTAGGAGGGAGGAGGCTAGGCGAAAGGTGATGTTGACTAATCAAGAACTGAGGCCCAACCTGGAAGCAGAAAGCTTGGCGTTGACCTCTAGAGGACCTGATTCAGATGGAGAAAAGAAGAAAAAACCATGGTGTGATCACTGTAGAAAACCATGGCATACAAAAGAGACATGTTGGAAACTCCATGGCAAGCCCCAGAATTTCAAGAAGAATGCAGGTGATAGCAAGGCAATCCCGACCATGAGTGAAGATTCTCAGAGACAACAAATTAATTCAGAGAAACCCCAATTCACAAAGGAACAACTAGATCACCCGTACAAACTCTTTCAATTTCCACAATTCTTAAACCCTTCTTGTTCTTTTGCTCAAAAGGGTAATTTTCTCACTGTAGCTCTTTCTAGTATAAAATCAAATTTGTCATGCCCATGAATCATTGACTTAGGAGCCACAGATCATAGGATTGGTTCTTCAAAACTATTCTCTACCTATAAACCGTGTGCAGGAAACAAAAAAATCAAAATTGCAGACAGATCCCTTTCAGCCATAGCTGGGACAAGATCAGTCATAATCTCTCCTTTCCTCACACTT